GCCTTATAACACTTTTTATTAAGCTTCTGTTTTTTTTCCAGTCATCGTCTCCCGTTCATCGTCTCCTATTAATCGTCTCCCAGTATGCAACAATTGATCATCTTTGTTCGAAGCTTTCATCTGTGCTCTTCAAATTTGCTCTTCGAAGTCTTCATCGTCTCCCGGTAGGCAACAATCTAATCTTATTCATCTCTTTTTCGTGACAATTTTTTTCAAATTGTTTTAATAAATCTTCACTATTGAATATGATTACTAGATTATGCACTCATTTTTAATTTATTGCAGTTAGCTTTAGTAGTTATGTCTACTTTTTTAGGTATTTCTGTAGCGACTCACATATATTAGTATGACTAGTTTTCAAGCCCGTGCGATGCACGGGCAGTATGTAATTTAGCTAAGTTGAAATTTAATTTCTATCGGATCACATATAATGTGATTTAAAAGAAAAATAAACTTAGTCTAATATAGAGTCTGTTTGAAAATACTAAAGTAAATAGAATTAACTTATTTTGCTGAAATTGATTGAATTCTGGTTAAATAGGTGAAATCTTCTGAATCATGAAAAATATATGTGAAATATATTCCATTTGTGAAACAAAGAAAAAAATATATGAAAAAAAGTTAAATTGGTCTTCTACATAAGCATCTCAAGTAAACATAATTGTTATGAACCCAATAATAAAAAAATCTATATTTCTTAATTGTTAGATCTTACAGTTTACTCATTAATAAGAACGTTTTTAATTGAATTAAAATTTCGGGTTTGATTTGGTATGAATTAATTTGGTCTATTAGATGTCTGTTTTTTATGTGACTTATTGTTATAATTATTAAAGTTTGATCTGATCTGATTTAATCTGGAACTGAAATCAATCCAATTAAAAACATTCTATTAAAATAAAAGTAGGAATTCGTAAACCTATAAAGATTTTCTAATTTGGATTAGGAATCTATTTAAAAAGTGAAGGCATATTTGACTTTTAGGTGTAAAATAAAGAAACAACCAAAAAAATTACTTATTTGGCTAAGCTAAACATATGTACTTGTGAAAATATATATACTTTATGTTGGTTATAATTTATAATTTCATTTTTAATTATTTACTTATTTTTAATTTATTTACTTGTCAAATTAATAAGTAAACTAATTTGCATATTTGTTTCTATTTAATTCGGTGTAGTAAACTAATATAAATTAGTTTCCATATCAATAAACGTTATTAGAATTTCACTTTGATAACAAAATTATTTTACTTATTTGAAGCTTACCAAATTAATTAAGGTGGATTTATAAGGATTTTTGTTTCCATATCAATATGCAATCAAAAATAGAATCTAATAAAAACAAAAGGTATAAAAATAAGTAAATAATTGTTATATATAATGACATGGCAGGATTATGTGGCGCTTTGTATGATCTTAAAACGTTCCTCTTATATATATATATATATATATATATATATATATATATATATATATATATTGATTAGTTGATAAAACATTATGGTATTTTAGTTTAACTTTGATGAGCATTTAGTCTATTTATTTGTTTTACCCTTTTCCAGATGAAATTGCTTTTAATTTGCTGGACAGTTAATTCAAAACATTGAATCCAGAGGCGAAATACTTAAACTTGATTCAGGTAATTCCTTTGGTTTTGTGTTATTATCTTTTTCTTTGTTCTGATTTTATTTACACTTTTTACTTTTTTCCAGATCATGTGAATTCTGTTGTTGAGTTAACTGAAGATGTTCATTCTAGCAGAAACATTGGTGATTTGTCAAGTATTTTTTCTATGTTGTGCTCTTTATGTTCTTTGTTCATTCTAGCAAAAACCTCAAGTATTTTTTTATTTATGCAGCTAGCCATTCTTCTAGCAGTGTTGATTCTATACCACAATCTGATTCTTCCCTTTTAGTTAAAGAAGCTGAAGTTTCTGAGCTTCTTGGAAAAACTATTCTGTTAGAGAAAGAAGCTTTTGATTTGTATAATGAGTATGCTTTTAGGATTGGCTTTGGCGCTCGTTATTCTACTCTACGGAAGAAAGAAGGTTGATGTGATGTTAAAGGCAGAGAATTTTGTTGCACTAAACAAGGTTATAAGAAGAATAAAGGTGTACAGGGTAAGGTATTCACCAAAGTTGATCGTCGTACAGGTTGCAAAGCAAAAATTTATTTTGAAGTTAGAAGCAACGGTGAATGGGTTGTGGTTAGACATCTTATGGATCACAATCACTCTTTCTGTCCTAGTTCTTTAGTTTATCACGTGAGGTCTCATCGTGATGTTTCTTCTTCTGAGTTGACATATTTGAATCATTTGAGAAATAGAGGAGTAAAAATAGCTGACGGTTTTCGCTGTTTACAAGCTGAAGCAGGTGGCTCTCCTTCAATTGGTTTCGTGCTGCGTGATGTCTACAATGAATTGAAAAAAAAAACAAAAAAAAATGTTTTGAAGGTTGTGATGCAAATACTTTCATTAATATCTTTAGGAACATGCAAACAAATGAAGAAGACTTTTTTTTCTCTTTTGAAGTTGATGCTGATGGTTCCTTAGTTGGCTTCTTTTGGAGAGACATACAAATGAAAGAGGAATATTTAGCATTTGGAGAGTTGGTTGTTCATGACACTACATATCGTACAAATAAGTATGATATGATTTATGGTCCTTTTGTAGGTATTAACAATCATACACATAACTGTATGTTCGGTTGTGGGTTTTTGTTGAATAAACGCATTGAATCCTTTGAATGGATCTTTACCACATTTTTTACTTCAATGGATTCGGTTCTTCCAAAAACTATTATTACAGATTAGTCTGCATCCATGGTTGTTGCTATATGTAAGGTTTTTCCTAGTTCAAAACACCGTCTTTGTATATGGCACATCATTAAAAACTCTAAAATACATATACGAGACTTGAGGAATGACGAAGTCTTTTTGGACTTATTTGATCATGTTTTGAAACTTTGTCACACAGTTTCTGAGTTTGACTATTATTGGAACAGGTATCATCTATTACTGCACTTGTTTTCTTTCTTTTTTACTAATTTATTATTTACACATGAGTAATGGTATCAATTGTTTACAAATGAGTAATGGTTTCATTGTGATGAGTATACTATTGTTTTTTTTGTTTTTTATTTTTGCAGGATGGTGACTACTTTCAATTGTTCTGAAAATGCATGGTTGAAGAAACTATATGGACTTAGGGAGAAATGGTGTCCAGCATTTTCAAAAGATTACTTTTCTGCTGGCATTTTATCCTCACAAAGAAGCGAGTCAACGAATAATTCTTTGTCTAGAAAGTTGAATGCAACGTCTTCTCTTTGTGATTTCTATCACTTTTTTTGTGAAGCTGTTAGTGAATGGTGGAGTCATGAGAGATCAGATCAAGAGCGTTGTTGGGATGGCTTCCCCGAAATATCAATCCCACATCTTGGTATATTACATAAAGCTTCTCGAATTTACACGATTGATGCTTACAAGCTTTTTGAGAAGGAGTTTGTTCGTGCTATGTCTTTCAAACATGAGGTTAAACATTGTTTTGGTTCCGTTATTCGATATTTAGTTTGGATGCCTCATATTGATCAGTTTTCACATTGGGTTGCATATGACACGACATCACATTTTGTTGATTGTTCATGTAAGAGGTTTCAAGAAGTTGGTATTTTGTGCTGCCATTGTCTTCGTATATATCATATCCACTGCGTTGAAGTTCTTCCTGATTCTTATGTTTTAAAACGTTGGACTCGAATAGCAAAGTCAGTTGAACAAAGTCAGTCATCTATGTTATCCAATACTTCTAATGTTTTGCCTTTTGTTTGGAGAATGCAAATGCAAAGGAAACTCCACAAACTTCTATGTTCTATTGATTCTAATGCGTCAGCGAGGCTGCTTTGTGAAGAGTCGTTCAAAAAATTGTAACATGATGTTGAAGAACAAGTTGGCAGTATTTACTTCTCAGACAGTGATTCAGCTTCAATTGGAGTTGGTACAATTTCTAATCCCAAAGGTTCAAGGAAAAAAGGTGAAAGAAATGTTCGGCGCAAAAGTATTGTTGAGATTAAATCAAATCAAGCCCGAGGAAGGAAAAAGTCAACTTCAACAAGTACCTCAATTATTGAACCCTGAAAATTGTAGACACTCTTAAAAGCTTTGTTTTTGGTTACATACTTTTTTATTATTCAAAAAAGAACATCTTCTTTTATCTTTTATCCTCATTTTAGTTTCTGTGATGTGCACTTATAGGCTTCACATGTTTTTTTCTCTCTATGTGTTTGTTTTAGTTTTTACTTTTATTAAATCATACATTCCCCTGATATAATATTCTTTTGAGTAATTCTTTCTAATATAATGTGTAAGAGATGTTAACAAAATGAGTATTGAAATGAATTTAGTTTTTTAGTTGTTGAATTTAAAATGAATTTTGAATCCAAGAATCACTAAACTATGTGTTTACTATTTCGAATTATATATAAATTTTTATTTTTACATTGTTAAAAAAATACTTTCACATCAAATTCAATGTTTCAGCTCTTACTCACTTCAGTTGTGCCATTATAAATAACTTAATATTGCTTAAAAAAACACTTCCCCAATTGGTTTTTAATAAGAAAATTAGTAAACCGAATTTCAAACTTAATGTTCTTAACTTCAATTGATCAGTTCTCTAATTGTGTATAGTAACAAATAAAATGAGCATACACATTACTAGTAATAAGTATTAATATAAACTTCATGAATTCAGATGTCACCATTCAATAATACAATCATCATTAATGTGTATATTTACAATTTCACAATTAACACAAATATATACGTATTTTTTCAGTTCGTAGTCACTTTACTCACACAATGCCATTATAACTAACTTACTAATACTTTGAAAAAACACTCCTCCGCTGTTTTAAAATAAGAAAACAAGTTGACCTACTTTCATACTGAATGGTTTTAACTTTAAGGGGTCGGTTCTTAAAATTGTGTATAAGTAACAAATGAAATGAGCATAGAACCTATTAAAAATGATCATTAATACTTAAAATTGTGTATAAGTAACAATTGAAATGGTGCCCGATCGAGTATGTGTGTAATACCAGATTCGAGGTATACTCGATCGGTTTTAGGCTATTTTCCAAAGGTATACCCGATCGAGTATATGTTTATACCCGGTCGAGTATGCTTAGAAAGTGATATTCGAGCCATACTCGACCGATTTTCGTTTAAAACTCAAAGGTATAGACATTTGTCGGTCTACTCGATCGGGTATAGACATTTAATCGTGGTTGAAATCTTCCCGGCATGTTCCCTTGTCTTCGGATCTGATCCGATTTGAAGTTTCAACCTAATACCTGATCGAGTATAGGTAATACTCGACCGAGTATAGACCAAAATTTCAGGATCCTTCTTTCTTTTTTATTTTTGCACCTTCCTTCCACTTTTGGGGTACACCAATTGTCCTTTTGAGTGATCAAGACCTGTTTGAGCTCAGAATATACCTAATCTAAACTATTTACAAGAATTTAACAAACTAAACTATTACACCAAAAGTGTGTAATTTCCAAAGTAAAGATCAGGCAAAACTAATTAAAAACACAAACATACATATGGAAATTACAAACGTATCAATGCTCAATACCATTGCCTGCCTGCTCAAATACTTCATTAGTATGCTCAGCATCATCCTCATACGTATTCACCATGTCATTTGACTCATTTGAAAGCAACTTGAAGCTTGGCTTTTCATACTGTGTAAAAGTTGGCCTCTCCACTCTCTTCTTCTGAGTCATTTCAATAGCTTCAACTGCTTTGATCACTTCTTCTGTCCAGTACCCATCATCTGGAGTCAATGACACTTCAGTTTCAATTTCTTTTTGTTTCCCCTTTTCTGAGGAATATGTGTTCAAAAGGCCATTGATTTTTCCCATTAAACCCTTCATTGTCTCATCATCAGGTAACACCTTTGCAGCCTCTTGAAATTTTTCATCAAAATTGGCCATGCTTTCTGCCAAATTCTTCGCTGCTGCAGCAAACTCCTTCATAATGTCCTGTAGTTATTTAATGATTAATGTTAGAACAGTAATTGAGCATTCTTTATTTTATTATTGAGTTTAGAGTAAAATAATTGAACTGAGCATATACGTTTATTAGATTAATTTATTCAGTCTTTAAAATTTTTATCCATTTTTTTGTAACATTTATTTTCTTTCTTTTTCTTTAAGTTCCTTCATGTATTCATTATTTTGTATTAATTACTCATATCTAGAAATCATATTTATCATTTATATATTTACCCAAATTTCTCTTTCAAAATTACATACGTACTACTGTCCTTACCTTCGTTGGCTCCTGATTGTTGTTTCCCTCAATCTGCATTGCAACTTCTTGTTCATTTGTGATATGTTTTGGAACTATGAATTCCCCTTTATTAGGTTCATCTACATATCCGTATCTGAAACCTCCGCTTTCAATTTCTCCCTTTTGTCTTCTGTTCAGCTTTTGTGTTGTCCACCCAATAATAGATGGCAATGCTCTTTGCACTTTTCTGCCTTAGAACACAACGTTGTCAACGTAGAACACCTACATATTTTATAAGATGTTATAATTGTGTACTGCATGTAATTATTTGATTAATTATATGATACAATTGATCAATAATATAACATTATAGAATTTGTAACTTACCATCAGAAACAATAAAGGCCCTGGGAACTGTCTTTCTATGCTTTTGCTCCAATAGTCCTTTGCTTCAATTAATGTTTCCAATGTGTATCCACACCAATTCAGATTCTTTATTTTTGAATCATCCTGCAATGCCTTCAGATTGCTTTGATTTGCAAAGCAATTTTGCTTCCCTTCAATCAAACACGTTACCGGGAGAACCAAAAAATTCTTTTTAAACCATCATCCACCTTTTTTGTTTTCTTTTAAAACCTTCTTCAATTGAGCAGTCTTCACAACTCCATTTTCACTCTCGAATTGCGATCTCCAATCAGCCACGATGTGTGATGTATTCTCAGCTTCACTATCAATCAAATTCTTCACATTAATGTTTCCTTTTGGAAACCCCAATGTGGAATGCACCGCATCTTCATTTATCCTCAATCTCTCATTGTTCGGCAGAACAAGAGACACACTTCTGCTATCAAAACTCTCCACCACCCAATATGCCAACTGCATTGGCAATTGCTTGACTTCAAGGTTCAGTAAGGGACCAAATCCCATCTCGACTACCTCTTCCTTCTATTCTGGACTTAGAGTTTTCATTATTTCTGTTATACTACTCGGATACATTCTTGTCCACAGCTTTGGGTATTTATCATTCTTCTCCTTCTCTATATCCTCTCCGTCCTCCTCAAATTCTTCTTCTTCTGCTGCTATCTTCTTCTTCATCTTTTGCTTTTTCACTTTTAATGACTCTTCTTGCCTTGTTCTTTTCATTTTGACATCAACTTCTTTCTTAATTTTTTGAACTTCATCTTTCTTCTTTTCACTTTTTTCTGATGTTGTTGATCTTGTAATTCTTTTTTTTTTGGGCTAACATCCTCACCGTCTTGCTGTTTGCTTGAATCACCTTGCTCTCCACTTTTCTTAAGTGCACTTGCATTATTTCTCTTTCTTTTCTTCTCATTATTTCTCTGTGCAGCGCCTTGTTGTACTTCTTCAACATTCTGATGTTCCTCAGTTTCCCTCCCTTGTTGCTCAGTTTCCATCCCTTGTTGCTCAGATTCTTCTCCAACATGTTCATTCATCTTACTGCTACCATTCCTTGTTTCTTGCTCATTCATCATCCCCTCATTTTCTAGTCCTTGAAACTTATCATTCCCTTCCAAATATGCTTCCTCTTAATGCACATTTGGTTCGGTACCTTGAACATTGCTTTGCTCACATTCTTTATTACTTTCTTTAGCAGTCTTTTCTGCATCCTTTGTTTCTCTGTTGCTCATCATTATCTCAGCTTCTATTTCTTTTATTAGGTCCATCGTAGCCTTTTCCTTTACTGGAATTGCTTTTGGTTTCATTTTCTTCTGTGTAACCTTCGAAGTCTTTTTTACTTTCTTTTTTGGCTTTGTGCGCAGCACTGGGATCTCAGTTATAGGCCTTGCATCTAAATTCCTACATTTCAATTCTTAATAAGTACAGTACACCTTATGTTCAATGTACATATTTCACTTACGTTATGAGCATAAAAACAATTATCTTGTAACTCTATTCCATAACAGACATATTCTAAAACAAAGATTGCATAGTACTTGATCTTCACATAGCACTATATAGACATTTGAAAGTTGTGATCAAATTATGAACATTACAATATTTCTCACATAATGTTTTATAAAATGAGCATTTTCTTTCAAAGTATGAGCATAAAACCAAATGTGATGTAATACTCATAATTTGATTACTATAAAATTCTCAGATAATGTTTTAAAAAATGAGCTTTTGCTTAAATTTTACGAGCACACTATCACCATATTTTACTTACATCATGAGCATACAAACAATTATTATGTAAATGTAGTTTATAACAAGCATATTCTAAGACAAAATTTTCATATTTTTTGAGGAACTCATAACACTATATGTTCATTTGAACGTACTGATCAAGTTTTGAGTATCAGTTCACTTTTACATTAACATTATCAATAACTAACATATTATCACCACTTTTCAGTACTACAAAATTGTGACACAATGTTTTATAATTTGAGCATGTTGCATTCACATTATGAGCATACACACAATATCCATGTAACTGAATTACAGAACAAGTATATTGTAAAACAAAAAATGCACAACACTTCATGACACATAGTTCTATTTGTTCATTTGAAACAATGATCAGATAATGAGTATCAGTTCAATTTTAATGGCACACTCTGACTAATAAAAAAACATACAAACAATTTTTGTGTCACACTATGAATCATAAGCATAATCTTCAATAAATATAGAAAAATTAAACCACATACCACTCTATTCAGAGTTGAGTATTGTACTACCTCCGTCTCGCTATGCTTGTCCCGTTTTACCTTATCGATCCGTCCCACTAAGATTGTCTCATACCAAATTTGGCAAAGTTTGTGTGACTCTAAATCATTCTCACTTTATTCTTACTTTATCAATTCAATATCAACCACATAAACCACTTTTTATTGATTTGCGTGTCACTCCCTCTTGTCTCATTGTTAGCGGGACGGAGGGAGTATCATTTTACAAGTAACCTAATTACAATATCACCATGTTCTAAGTAGTTAGTAATGTATATTACTTAAATTAAAGTAAAATGAGCATTAACCTTCTTACATTAAACAAACCCTGAATTGATTTACGTAATCAACACATATCACGCATCAAAATCATAATTTACTTCAGATTTGTCAAAATCATTTCAATTTTTCTATAATTTTCGAAAAATGCAAGTATATTGATTAATCATTACTAAAATATAAATTTCAACAGTATAATATGACATACCTCTCTGATGCTTCTGCATTTTCATGCTTATCTGCATTTAACATCATTTCATACTCGGATATTAAGTCCATCGCGTGCTTCAATGATCAAACACAAACAACTTGCTGCTCAAACTCTTCCTCTGTTCTTCAACTTGTTATTGCTCTCCAACTCCATGAAGTTGACAAATGTCTGGAGGTTGTCCTCGTTTTTCGAGTTAAAATACGGCGTCTATGAATGCTTGCGTCGTTTTGCGCACATATTTCAGAAAGCAGTTCAGTTTTTGTGAGAAGAAGTTACTTTTCCGTTTTTGATATCATTTGTTCGCAGTCCTTTGTTTTGAGTTATCGGTGTTACCCGGTAAAAAATTGGGCCAGGTGTGTTGTGGCTTTATCTATTAATGGACTTCTATTTTAATTGGACTGGATGTACATACATCCGGGTGTAGCATATACCAACTGGCTGGTGTAGGAAAATTTGAGAGGAACAAAGTTTACATACGGAGTACAAGTTTTACATACTGTGTGGGAAGATGTTACATGTACAAATTGTGCAGTCTCACCTTTTTTTACTCTTGAAATTAATAGCACTTTATATTACATTATTTTACAACATGATTATGCTAAACATTGATTTTACAATTATTATATTATTATATTATTATATTATTATTATAATCTATTACTATTATTATTATATTAATACTTCTATTATTAGTATTACTTCTACTATCTTCATGTATTCTTTTCTATAATGCTACTAACAATAAATAAGGATAATAATTTTGACCAATAAAGTCACTATTATTTTTTCCTTAAATATTACTAACATTAAATAAGAGAAAAATAAAAAATCTCAATTCAATTTTGAGAAATTCCCTTATTAGTTATTCGTACACCGATTGTTTTTACTTAATAGTTTTATACTTTTATATAAGTATTTTAATTCATACCAATAAATACTAGAGTTCTTTATAATCATTAATAATTTATAAAATTGCACAAACAAGTTTAATTTTTATTCCTATAATTTATGAGTTATCCACAGGCTCGAGTTCGGATCCACAGGCTTGAGTTCGGAATTTAGTTTGAAACTCGTTAAACTCGGGTCGTTAAATTAAATTTGAAATCGTGCTCGAACTCGAATAGTTCGGAAAAAACTCGGTTTGATAACATCTCTAAGCTTAACCTTTTGTGTGTCGTAACAATTTTTTAACTGCTTAACCCACCCCACTCTTCATTCATGGATCTGCCTCTCATCGTCTCATTAAGTAAGAAAAATAATGTTGGTGTACCAGGTCCGCCATGTACATCCTTGATTGTGTAGGGGTCTGATGAAGCCCGAATTGAACAAGGCTGTCAAAGATGTCAACCGCCATTAATGGCAGACCTTGAATCCTTCGAAATCAAGAAGCAAAACCCACGAGATGCATTTCGGCCGGGTTCATCACATCTTTGCTCCGAGCTCCGTGTGTCAGTCACTCTATCCCAGTCCTCCAAGTCATAGTGTTTTCAGGGGTTCGGTTGCTTTGTTCGATCAGAAGAGCGCCTACCGGATTCTTCATCTCTTCTTTCCAGATTTTGAATTTTAGATCAGGAAAAGTGTCAAATAAGTCCCTCTACTACTGAGAGAATGTCAATTATACCCACGAACTCAAATATCATCCAATTAGATACTCGAACTTAAGAAAAAAGTTCAAATTCGCTTTTTAATAGGTCACCCAACAATTATCCGGTAAACACATGTGATGACACATTTTTATTTATTTATTTTTCTGTTTTCTATAAATTTTCCTGATTTTTGTTTACTCATATTCTTTTGGGATGCTTTGTCCAATTGTGGGAATTTCCTGAATTTTTTAGGAGTAATGGACAAGAATAATCCCAACTATTAGTGATCTGCTTGAAATAATCCAAAGTATCAATTATATCAAAATAATTTTAACTATTGAAAAATCTTCTCAAAATACTCCATTTACTCATAAAT